GTTGACACCCATGATGTCGATGTACAGCTGTGGTAACCAGTGCTAAGGCCTTTACAGGATAAAATGAACCAGCCACAGGCAACATAGTGTGTGAATATACACATGTAAACAGCGAACTTCAGCTGCCTGGAAAATTAAATGGTATTGACTTATCACTGGCAATTTGAAAGGACGCTATTTTGTGCAGCAAAGCATGTTTTTGTTTTGTTCCTCGTACTTATTTGAGTCGCTTAAAACTCTCCCTGTTTTCTTTGTAAAAACGGAACAGCTACTTCAATTTTTGCAACGAAAAAGCAAAAACGACTGAGGAGGAAAACTCCCATCATACCTTGCTGCACAACATGGCGTGGGTGCACATTGTCTATAGGACCGATGGATGAACGAAGATACACTATTTAACTAGCGATTTCCCTTCCATACCTGAACACATTAGCAGTCCCTCCTAGCTGCTCTTCCATGTAGCCGAAGAACTGAACCTAAAAGACACTGACATTAGCCATACAACCTTACGCTATTAACACACACAGACATTAGCCATACAACCTTACACTATTAACACACACAGACATTAGCCATACAACCTTACACTTATTAACACACACAGACATTAGCCATACAACCTTGCAATAACACATAAACTAGTTAACTTACCAGTTTGTAGAAATGAAAACATCGGTTAAGCCTGGCGAACGCAAGTATACGTAAGACACCTAAAAAACGCAGAATACAAAACGTAAGTCCTACGTAACTTCCCAAGCTTACATTCCGTTTTCTGRCGCGTTGTCTMGAACATAAGCTGATTAAGCCCATGCATACGAGATATAAGTAGTCGCGATTTTGATTTGACGTATCGAGCTCTCGCGTAAAAGTATAACAATGCGCGAGTCTTGCAGGAAACTTTACACTTAGATTTGGTCTTACGTTTCCGTATGTATTTAAGAAGAATATTTCATGCGTACGAAAAAAAAACAAATTCGCAAATAATCGTCGYATTATTTATAACTAAGAAAAAGGTCGAAGGCAAGGATGTTTTACGTAAAAGTATTTACGTAAATGTATTTACGTATCGATTTACGTACGTACCGTGTTGCTCAGGCCACATCGCAAGGACGATGATATCCGTAGGAAAGCAACAGAAAAGATCAAGAAGGAAGTTGGTCCTGCAAAACAAAGACGTCAATCTAATCCTAATCAAAGATGACGTCATTATGTACTGATGACGACATACCTGACGTAATGATTCGCTGTCATCAGTGGATGCGTAACAAGAATGTTCCTCTCGTTGTAGTATCCAACATGGAACTTGATGTAACTATTGCAAATATCATTAAATCAGGATAAAATGATTGGGTCATATGTATCACTGCCTCAATGTGCACTAACTTAGGGACTGTTTGTTGATTATTGTCAAGAGGAGTGGAAAACGTTTTGTCCGTTTGAAGAAGCAAGTCAAAAATGCCCCCCCCCCCCATTAATAGCCTGTTTAAAAAAACGCCCCCCTCCCTATACCACGCCCTTTTCAATGTACCCCTCTACTTTAAAGTCTGTTTTGAAAAACGTAACGCCTCCCTGAACAGCGCCCCCTTTCTTGGCATTAGTTAACAAACAGTCGTTAAAACATTGTTCGTTTTTTACTTACACATCGACGAGGAAGACRATATCACACGCATAATTCAAGACCCACAATGCAACGCTGACGTGCATGAGAGCTGCTTGYAGCATTAACGTTATCACGTAGATGGCCGTTACGCTTACGGTGAAGCCTTGCCAGGTATTGATCCAAGACTGTTTTGGTGAAATCCCCTTCCTACAAAACGAAAAAGACGTAAGCACTAGCGCTAATTAGTGCTTATTTTCATGAGTGAAGGAGACTGAGACGATGAAAGAAGCGTAAGCCACTTACGTAAGGAGAAAAAAAACGTAAGCCATTTACGCACGTATGAAAATCAACGAACGATCAGCCAATCAGCGGTTAAGCAATCAGAATAACCAAATCTGATTTGCTTTAATCCGTGTGCTGTATATAACGGATTCTTGCGGGTGCCTTACGGAAATTCTCTAACTATCGCATTTCCTCACACATGTCGTATATTGAATTTCTATGAACTGATTGATAACGTTACTTAATGTAAATATTACAACAACTGAATATCCCTTACGTCATCAGGAAGAATGACAGTATCCTAGCAAATGGTGGAAGCTCGCGGAAAGGATACTTGTACTCCTCCGTCTTGTCGATGTGGTGTAGGATGTTAATCTCGCTGAAAATCAACAGTGAAAGTGTCAGTTTATAAATTACTAGATATAGTCAACTCTCGACTTACGGACACCCCGCTACAACGGACACCTCGATATTGCGGACAGTAAAATACTGAATCCCCGGCGAAAAATACGAAGAAATGACTGAAAGCAACTCTCGTTATTACGGACTCTCGCTACTGCGGACATTAAATTACGGTCCCGAGGGTGTCCGCGATAGCGAGAGGTGACTGTATGTAACACTAGCATAAAGACACCTCCCCCCAAGGGTCTATCGTAATCATTGCAATTGATACTGTTATATAATGCAATCACTATTATCAACATCATTGCAATCCTCATCACCACCCCACTCCCCCACCTCCTCAGCCAGCGTCTACAGTCAATCTCACCTCCCCCCACGGGTCTACCGTAATCATTGCAATTGGTACCGTTATATACTGAAATCACCATTATCAACATCATTCCCAGCACCCCACCCCTCCCCTCCTCGGCCAGCGTCTACAGTCAATCTTACCTGCCACATGGATCAATCTGAGAGGAACTCCTATTCTGCATCCTTCGCATCAGGCCGTACGAATCACGTGAAGATGTCTTGTTTTTCACAGCGCAKGAAAGACGACGAACAGCAGACCGCGAGGTGTCAATGGCGGCTTTCTGGATTTGCTTAAGATGTTCACTGTTGGTGCCAGCTTCACCTAGTTGACTAAAATATAGGTAAAGAAAGCAAATCAATCAATTATTTGCCCGTCCCTCCTCAAGAGACATTTAGCTGTCATTCTACTTGAATGACGTTCAACCTTTACTAATCAAACTGTTTTCCTTTCGCCTGAAACAGGCTTTCAGTATTTGACTTGGCTCGTAATCGTTCAATCGCTTATAAACTGTTCTTAAAAGCTTATTGTTAACCAGTGAATGTCACATATGGTTGTTCAAAGCCCGATTAGCGTTAATCCAGGGTTAACTCCATAGGTTTTCTAAAAGTTAATCCAGGATTAGCACTAACAGGGCTTTGAACAAATCGGCCAAGGAATCCAACTTTCTGGAAGAAAATTCGGTAACAAGGGCCGATAATATTCACTCAAACATACACTGACTCTGATAAAGGCCGAAAACTTTTTAGATGTTTGATTCAAAAGCACAATCTGACTCAAGAAAACAAAAACAAAAAGTGCCGTAATGGAAAATTTAGACCGCATGGTGAAGAAACGTTTGGTAAGTTTATGGAACAAGTGCTTCACTGCTATTTATGTTTTAAAGCTAGTAGAGAAAAGAAATAATATCCGTCTGCATTAACACCATTTCTAGAGCGAGGTAACGTACAAGGATGTTTGGWTTAGAGAAGAAAATGTTTTAAAGTYAGAAATGCAAAGTACTTACTTGGCAACCACGGGAAAAGATATCAAAACGTCGTCTAAGTCAGCCTTGGTCAGCATCAGAATCTGACAGTAGGTTTTAGCTTGAACAGAGGCTAATCGRCTTTCRCCATAGATAAGGCCAACCTGTATATAYAACATATAAATGAATGGAAAGGGAAAAGTGAAAAAGAGCAAAAAAGAGTGAAAAGGAGAAGTGAAAATCGAAAAAAGGAGGGACGAAAAATAGACAAGAGAAAAGGGAGGCAAGGAAGGAAGGAAGGAGGGAAGGAAGGAGGGAAGGAAGCAAGGAGGGAGGGAGGGAGGGAAGTTAGCAGGGAGGGGGGAAGGATTGGAGGGAGTAAGAAGGAGGGAGGGAGGCAGGAAAGAATGGATGGAGGCAGGGAAGATAGTAAGGGAGGGAGAGAGGAAGGGGGATGGATGGATGCATAGTAGGAAGGGAGGAAGTGAGGGAGGGAGGGAGGGAGGGAGGGAGAGAGGGAGGGAGAGAGGAAAGAAAGGAAAGGAAGAGAGAAAGTTGGAAAGAAGCAAGAAAAAAACAACAAGTATTTGTTACCTCTCCAAAGAATCCTCCAGGTCCCAGTGTAGCGAGTTTTATGCCATCATCRCTGATAACATCAACCATACCTCTTCTGACACAGTACATCTCACGGCCCATATCGCCCGCGTACACGATAAAATCGCCTGGTAACAAAACGACAAGTTAGACAATATAACCAAGTCATCCACTTGGATTGACTGCTGGCATCAGTAGAGATATGACATGTACCTGGATTGAAAATATACGAGGTTGTCTTKAGTGATAATTCCCTTAGAAAAGTATCCTCAGTCTGCATGAAGATAGGAACCTGGAATAAAAGGACTTCTGTTATTTTGCTTTCATATAAAATTACATAATGTTTACAGCGAGGAGATGAATTTGCCAAATATAAGGCAGATACTTGCAGTAAGCAATGTCGACGCCAACTTTCAGAACTACAAAGCAAGTTCAAAAATACATTCTTTGGACATTATTGCGCGCACTTAAATGCTCTCCAAATTTAGTGTTGGTAACACATTCTGAATCTATTGTTTCTTTCATTCTTTTCCAGCAATTACTAACTAAACTATGATTTTCATTGCATCAGTTAAATAAAAACGGCTCTTTTAGCCTTACTATTCTTTAATGGTCAACAGAAAATCCTTCTAACTTCAGTTTCCATACCTTTTCCATGATGTCTTTAGATTCCTCAGAGCAAACGTCTTGTTGTAGTGATATGGGCATATCTTCCAGTAGATTCTTGGATCGCGGTATTACTTCTCCTCTGTAATCAATATTACCAATGATAAAGCCAAGATTCGGATGCAATATGCAATGTGTAGCGACGCCATTTTATACAGCAAAGGATGATGTTAGTTGTAGTACTCGTACTTTTTTATGTCCACTAAAATATTCCTACTACCCAGTTTTTGCTTTTTATAACCGAAAATAGTATTTGTGCCGTTTATAAAAAGAAAATATAAAAACGGCTTTTAGATATTTTAGAGGCTGTGAAAAGTGCGAGGACTACAACTACCATCATGCTTTGCTTCACAAACTGGCGTCGCAGTGCCTCTACTGAGATACCACAGTCTGCAGGACTTACTTGTGAATTCCCCATAGAGTGGTAAGGTACTGCGAGACTTGAGCGATCAGATCAGGAGCAAGGTCTTGTTCCTCCATGAAAGTCTTTACGGCGTTGATTTGTTCAAGGAATTCCACTCTAAGAAAAACAAGAATAGTTAAATATTAGGAATGTATCCGTTGTTCGTTCGCGAATTCGTAATCTAATAATAATAATAATAATAGTTTATTTATATGGCGTACTTTCCTATGAGTCCAAGAACGCTGAACAATTATAAAGATTAATTAAAAGATACAAGGATAAAAAATTAATTAAAATGATACAGTAATAATATATAAGAAGTTAGATAAAAAACTAAATATTTACAGAAATACAAAACTAATGGAAAGCTATTTTAAAAAGATAAGTCTTAAGCTTACTCTTGAAACTATCACAAGTGCCACTACGTCTAATCTCTAATGGAATATTATTATTATAATACTATTCGGAGAGTATCCGTTGGTCATTCGTAAGATCATTTTTCCTCCGGCGGTTCATTCGAAAAATACTACACTAAGAAAGAAACAATCGTAAACTATTCGTTCTGTATTCGTTGGTCATTCGTAAATCGTTATCTGTTCGGAAAGTACCCAAAATTACACTATTAGAAAGAAATAATCGTTAACCATTCGTAATGTATTCGTTGGTTACTCGTAAATTCATAAGATTTATGCGTAAAGTGTATTTAAAAAATCGTAAGTTTTCCGTAAAGGATCCGTAATGTATACGTAAAGCACACGTAAGAGTCAACCTACAACTACGATTGCTTACTTGGGAGCGGCTGCGTTAGCCAAAGTTGCGGCGATACTACTAAGGCAGTAGCCATACAAAAGAAGCCCAACGAACATGACAAGTACGGATATMAGCTGACTTGAGGAATCGTGGGCGTGGATGTCTCCGTAACCAGTMGACGACATTGACGCAGCAGCCCAGTAAACCGACGCGACGTACTCGTCAACGCCTGCCGTGATGTTAACGACATTTTGGGCCCAGCTACCTTTTTCGCAGCTCCTACAAAACACGTGCGTGTTTCAATTTTTCCGTGAGTTCTTACGGAAATAAACGTTACTCATGATGGAATGAAAGTCATKTCTTTCAGAAACCACTCAAACTGAAGACAACTATGTTTTCATGGTGAGCTCTGATAAGTGCATAAGTTTTGTTGCTGAATCAAGCTAGCTACTTGTTTTTACAGAAAATCATTATTTGAAAAGATAAAATTGAAATAAATCGCCGCTTTGCCATTCCGCGAAAATTACGCTTTTTCACCAAAACGAAGAGCCCAATTGTCAATATGTTCATTACCTATGGCCATAGCATGCCTCAAAAAACCACAGACAAGCACAAAGATGRGTYGCCAGAAGAATGTTGATCACAAACTTTAGAAATCGCACTTTACCAATACTGTATTCCAGACGGTCCTCGAGTTCAGAGAAGAAAGCTGACATCTATAATAATAATGATGATAACAATTTAGACCATCAATGTCCGTAAAATAACGAGGTATTCCGAAATTTAGAGGTGTCCATAATATAGAGGTGTCTGTAATGTAGAGGTGTCTGTAATATAGAGGTGTCTGTAATATAGGTGTTCGTAATATAGAGGTGTCCGTAATATAGAGGTGTCCGTAATTTAGAGGTGTCTGTAATGTAGAGGTGTCCATAATATAGAGGTGTCTGTAATGTAGAGGTGACTGTAATATAGAGGTGTCTGTAATGTAGAGGTGTCTGTAATATAGAGGTGTCCGTAATATAGAGGTGTCCGTAATATAGAGGTGTCTGTAATATAGAGCTGTCTGTATCCGTAATAACGGATTGTCCATATAGCGACGTTAGTCAATTTTTTTCCGTTTTCCAAGGGTTTCCGTTGACGGAATATCAAACTAGTATCTYACCCTGAATATCTTCAGCATYCGGTTCAACCTTAAGAAAGACACAAGATGCCATCCTTCGTGTCCATGACCAACATCTTGTCCAAATACTGCAAATATCTCCAGWGGMAGAATGGCAACCAAGTCAGTCCAGAACAGAACAGTTCGCACGTAGTTATGGCGTATTTCTTTGAGGTCTGGTAATGGTTGCACAACGCATWTGTTAAGYTATAGTTTAYTTTACTGATCRAAGGGGTTTTCCAGTAGAGTTAGGGTTAARCCTTAGTCAAGAKKKGTTTTCCGTTGTAAAAGAAAGTAGTTTTGAGCCCCGCGCTATCGTTTTAATAATTTTAGATTACAATCCCATGATCCTCCTTACCGGAAGTGGAAGCAGTKSCAAGATTAAACCTCATCAGAAAATCACACAGCAATATGACGTCAAGCACATACGTAAATGCCATCACAATTGCCATGGTARCATTCTCGCCGTAACCCACGCTATGCAGAGAGACCGAGAAKGTTGCTACGTAAGGGTACAGAAAACAGACAATCACYACAGCCAACAGATGAATACGTTCCCAGATGGCAAGCTTGGTGGAGTCGGGCATTATTACGTGGTTAAGAGCATTTTTTATAGAACTGGAATATAAAAGAATTGATGTTAGAATACAGAATGGACGGAGCAAGAATGATAGCTATCACAGACTATAAAAAGTCGTTTTCCAAAACTTGTGCAATGAAATCTTCACTGAATCACACCATCATCATCATCATCATCATGATTTCGTTCTGATTATCATAAAATAATATTCTTACGTCATGATGCTATTTTTAGATATAATTATGCTGGGCTGCCATGTCTTGCCAAACTCCAGAGCTTGGTTTTGAACGGATGGCTGTCGCCGCGACAAGTCACAGCGAGTTTCAACAGCCGTATATAACTTCTCGGCGACTGAAAAAATACACAGGGAGACCACTTAATCAATTATTATGTTGCGGACACCCCGATATTACGGACATGTACTTATTACGGACACACTCCCTTACTGCCGACACTCACTATCACGGAC